GGGGCCAGCCGCTCTGCAGCCGGGCCACCCGGGCCTGTCAGAAAGAGCATGCCCGGCACCAACAGAGCTGTCTCAGTAAAGCTCTTCTCGGCCACCTGGGAGTGGGCACGGGGCAGCGGCCGCTTGGAGCCATGCGGGGACCTCAGTAGGAGAGCTGGGCTGGAGCCCCCCTTGTGCCCCTGGGGCACGAGCAGTTCAGGAGGAGCAGGTGAGTGAGGAGAGAAGGTGAGGGTGGAGAGAGCACAGCCCTCGCCCCAGCCCTGCTCCCCTGGGGCCTGCCGGCTGCTCCCCTTCTCTGAGCACCCCGCATGGTTACTACTGAGAGTGCATTTCGAGACGTGGGTCTGGGGCATCTGTGGGCCCTCTCCGGTAGGCGTTCTCGTCAGCACTTGCTGGTACAGGTCGGTCACGTGGGAGACATGTGAGGGATACCCGTAAATAGGCAGAACCTGGGGGAGATAGTGGGAAAAGGACCACAGAGACTTTCCTGTGGCAAAGATTTCTTGATTCTGGAATTTAAAGTGCCCCATCGCTCGTCTCTCTGCAAAGGAGGGTCTCGTGCTTCAGGCCACACACGGAAAATGGCTCTATGTGCTTGGCATCTTGGGATAAGCCGACAAGCCCTTGTACTGGAAGTAGCTGGCACGGGGCCTCGGAGCCCACCTGGCCGCCCCACACGAGGGGACCCGCATCTTAGACCCTCCTCAGTCTGGGGTGGCCACTGATGGGGAAGGTTCAATGTATGAGTCCATCGTGGAGTTCAGGAACCAGGCTGCCAAAAACGGAGGGTCAGGCCTCAAGATTCTGGGCTTCGATGCGAGTTCGGACACAGAGTGCCTTAGGCAGACGTTGGCAGTCGTGAGGCAGATACATTCTGGGCGAGGGGACGTGGCTCCGCACCGGCCACGCCGCCGCGCAGGCCCTCCCGTTCGGCTGCCGCCCTAGCAGTCGTCTCGGCTGCTGTGTCCCGTGGGCCATCTTCGTTGCTGTCAAGCAGTTCACATTTTTTTTTTGAGAGGTTTTCGCTATAGGGCGCGTGTGCTCTCCAGACAGAGAGAGACAGAGAGACAGAAAGCGAGAAATCACCCCCCAGGGGGGATGGTCACGCCGCAATCCCTTCTCCTCCATTCTCCTCTCGCGATCTTGGGCACGCACCCGGAATGAGTTTTAAGCCACCGGGTCTGGGACGCGAACCGCAGTCGACTACGTGGGAGTCCAGCGACATAGCCATTACGCTAACTGCTGGTCCCTCAAACAGTTCACATTTTACGCAGCACCGGGCTCGTCTCACATAAGCAGGCACGGTACCAGCAGCACCCACCAAGGCGGTCGGACACAGACGTGGCCTTAACCAGGTCCGCGCTTCTCGGCTGCCCGTTAGCCATTCGGACTGGACCCTCGGGTTAGCGGGGCAGCGTGGGCAGGCTTTGCAGTGGACAGGACAGGGTTGAGATCTGGCTCCGCCATAATTAACTGTGTGACCGTGGGCAAGTTACTTAACCCCTCTGGGTCCAGGGAGCCGGCGACAAGGCCTCTCACTCACCGGTGGGCTTGGCTTGCCGTAGCTCGGCCGGTAAGATGTTGCTCCCTGGCGCGGATGAAGGTACTTAGGGACGGCAGCCGTGCGGACTTCTGCCCGCTCTCACTGTCGCGTGTCTCCGCAGCACCAAGATGGTCTTTTTTGTTCAAAACGAGCCTCCGCACCAGATCTTCAAAGGCCACGAGGTGGCAGCGATGCTCAAGAGTGAGCTGCGGAAGCAGAAGGCGGACTTCCTGATATTCGGAGCCCTGGAGATCAGTACCGTCAGTGAGTGGTTCCGGGAAGGGGGCGCGGGCCGTCCCTCGTCCTGGCCTTCATCTCCTTCAGTCTGGGATTGTGGAGTTAAAGGCCGCGACCCTGAAAGCCTGAGCCACCGGCACCCTTAGCCTGGGCCCTGCGGCCCTGCAGCAGCTCAGGCCCTGTGGGCGTGGGTGGGGGGGAGCCGCGTCTGTGCCTCACTGGCCTCCGACCGAAACTCCTCGGATCGCTCGGTGACAAAGCCCCCTTTGTGGTCCCTGTCCCGTTACACGGTGAGGGTCACTTGTACTCAGCACCACCTGGAACTGCGGTCAGCGGTGGACCCCACCGCTCGGCTGCTTCATGTTTCACCGCCCGCCCCGTGTTATCTCAAACCTGCGTGCGTGTGAACATTGAGTGCGATTGCTCTAGTTGTACCCTGTATGGATTTATCGTCGTAAGTTCTGAGAAGGGGGTTTGCGGGACGTCAAAGATGAGGACTTGCTGACACAGAGAAGCAGCAAGGGAAGGCCCACGGAGCTGAGTGGGGCCCTTCCCAGCTGCCCCTATGGTCATTCCCGGCAGTCCCCGGGCCGCGCACCCTCAGTTAGGTCTCTGGGTGCCTCCACACACAGCTGGAGGGGGTGGCCCCGATGCTGGCAGTGCGGGCTGGCTCTGGCTGACTGTCGCTCTTCTGTGCCCTCAGCCTGTCAGCTGAACTGCTCGGACCATGGCCACTGCGACTCCTTCACTAAGCGCTGTGTCTGCGACCCCTTCTGGATGGAGAATTTCATCAAGGTGCAGCTGAGGGATGGAGACAGCAACTGTGGTGAGTTTCCTGTGGGCACCGTGCCCGCTGGCTTGGGCTGGCCGTGGTTCTGTGCCGAGCGGGTGGGCGGCGGTTCTGAGCAGATGAGCCGGCAAGGAGAACTCTGTGTATTTTCTGCTCGCGAGGCCTGTGCGTACCTCCTCCACACTCACGTGAGGTTAGAGGCAAGCTCGGGGGCAGCCGTGTAAGAAGCAGCATTGTGAATGAGACTGCCTGCTCATGGCAGCCTGAGCAGCCCACCCAGGGCCTCCCACCCAGGGTCTCCCACCTCAGGGCCTCCCACCCAGGGCCTCCCACCCTCCCACCCGGGGCCTCCCACCTGGTGCCTCCCACCCAGGGCCTCCTACCGCAGGGCCTCCCACCCGGAGCCTCCAACCTGCGGCCTCCAACCCGGGGCCTCCCACCACAGGGCCTCCAAACTGGGGCTTCCCACCCAGGGCCTCCCACCCGGGGCCTCCCACCTGGTGCCTCCCACCCGGGGCCTCCTACCGCAGGGCCTCCCACCCGGAGCCTCCAACTCGGGGCCTCCAACCTGGGGCCTCCAACCCAGGGCCTCCCACCGCAGAGCCTCCAAACCGGGGCCTCCCACTGTGGGGCCTCCCACCCGGGGGCCTCCCACGTGGGGGCGCCCCTTTCCCAGACAGGGCAGGGCCCCCAAGCCCCTATGCCTGGCTGTTCGTGAGGCTCCGCTGTGCTTCATGCTGAGGTCTCACCATCTCTGGGAGCCCTGGGGGCAGTCCCATGTCTTGGCCGAGGTGAGACAGCCCAGACCTCCCTTGTAGCCTCTCAGGCTGCTCCGCCTCCATTTTCTCGGCAGAGTGGAGCGTGTTGTATGTGATCATCGCTACCTTCGTGATGGTCGTCGCCTTGGGGACCCTGACTTGGACCATGATCTGCTGTTGTAGGAGGTAATGGCTCTTCCTTGGGAGCCCATTCGGTCATATGTCCCTCCTCATGGGACATCCAGCACCTTCCACGTGAGGGGCCTTGCTGGGCCCTCAGCTACCACGTGGCCGCCAAGGCCTGTGCCAGCAGCTTTCCTTCCCTCACGCATTGCCGAGGGCAGAGACTAGGCCCCGTCAGTCGTGGCTGTCACCTGGTGCATGGTGCGGCGCGGGGTGGAGGCTGGGTCATGTCTCTGGGGCGTGTGTCCTGCCACGTGCTGCATGTCAGCCTCACCAGCTCTGCCCGGGGCTCTCGGTCCCACGCTTCTTTCCAGCTGGGAGCCTGTGTGCACGTGTTTCCACACAATGGCAGGCCTAGCTTGGCGGCAGCTACATGTTTCGGACTTGTCACTCGAGTCTATCTAGTCTTATAATACTCATGCTTACATTTATTATATCACTTCAGTTTCTTAAAGAATTATTTATTTGTTTTTGTTACTATTTTTATTATTTTTAAAATTTGACCAGAGAGAGAGAAAGAGAAAGCAAGAAAGCAAACCACCAGGTCTGGGACTTGAACCACGGTCAGCCATGTGGGAGTCCAGCACCTTAACCACTGTGTCACCTGCTGGCCCTTATTATATGACTTTATTAATAATGAGTTTATTCTATGCTCACTGCATGCTATGACAACATTTTATGGGTAACATTTTTTTTTTTTACTCTTTTTTTTTTCTGGAGAGGATTTTGCTTACGCTCGCCAGACAGAGACAAAGAGAGAGAGAAAGCGAGAAATCACCCCCCAGGGGGGACGGCCGCGCCGCAGTCCCTTCTCCTCCATTCTCCCCTCGGGATCTTGGGCACGCATGCACACGTGCCCGGCGTGAGTTCTAAGCCACTGGGCCCGGGACTCGAACCGCAGTTGACTACATGGGAGTACAGTGACATAGCCATTATGCTAACTGCTGGACCCAGTAACATCTTTTGAATATACATAATAACCTTTTCCTATCTTACAGATAAGGAAATTTAAGCTCAGTAAAATTATGTCTATCTGAGGACACAGTTAATAAGTGACAGACCTGAGATTCAACTCTCAGTAAACATCCAGGAAAACTTAGAAAATGAAAAGAATTTTTGTTTTTTTTT